TATATACAGGAGTCCCATTTTAAATTACGCACCTGAATATCTCGTCAGGGGGGTCACCAATCCGAAAATAACCCTTACAAAAGTTGTTGGATTCGGAGGGGGACATCGGATGGTAATTTTCAATTTCACCTTGACCTTGACCTTCAAGATCATTTGAAGGTCAAATCGAATTTTTAAATAGAAACCGCTATTTTTGACCCCGGATTCGGAAAGAGCGCAAAATTTTACGTTTAGATGGGTATTTGAGGCTCTTCTTTGGAATGATCTTCAGAGGTTATTTCAAGGACAAAATATTTGAAATTACACACCTGAATACATATCTTCGTCGTCGAGTCGACGACTGGAGTCGTAGCTAATCGTAAGCGCGTATCAAAAGTATATGCATTATAATCTTTGAGTAGCGTATATAAATAATTTTTACGTTTCAGCATTGACCGACTGGAGTCGGCAGTCGTAGTCGGTAGTTAAGTCGGTCTGTGTAGTCGGTAGTCTGATACGGGCATAATGTAGCACTCCCTTTCACCGAAGCGGTATAGCTGAACAAACTAAGACTGGTTCTACAATACGTCGTATGTCGCTATCGGACGTCGGAACGCAGTCAATAGGCCAATCAGAGAATTTGTTTTTCGAGACGAGTTCTCCTGATTGAACCATTGATTGCGTTCCGATATCCGACTCCGACATACAACTCGAAAAATAGACTGAAGTGTAAATGCAAGATGGCCGATCCAGTCAGTCGATGCCTCACTGTGATTGGTTCATTGAGAGTCGGCAGTCGGGTCGGCCTGTGCAGTCGGTAGTCTGATACGGCTTTATACGCGGCAGCTCCGTGACTCTCACTTTGTACCGCAATATTTCGAAAACAAATCCATTTATCCAAATCCTTTTAAGCTTTTTATACTCTATATTACAGCTATCGAACGCACTATAGCTTGTTCCAAAATCGATTTTGCATTTGGTGGCATCTCCTTGTGAAAAGCTCGAGGTATTGTACCAAGTCAGCGAGGAACCTGAAAAAGAATCGGAAGCAGATAAATGCTGCATTAGTAATTCAAATTAGTTTGATGTATATTATATTTTATATTTTAATTTTATTCTTTAAACTTAAATAATTTTGTAAAATAATGTAAAGTGTCAAAATTTGTCTAATAAATTAATTGTTTAAATAAATATTACTATTTTCGTTCTGTAATTAATGAAAATTATTAGTAATAAATTATTAAAATATTTTTAATCCTTTATTTGCTTAAAAAATGTGAGCATTTCACGTTGCGCCTTATTTTTGTGACATCGAAAAATTACACATTTTCATGTCGCCAAACAAATAGTTTCTAAAAAGAATAAAAAAACTGATCATAGACTCTTTTTTAAGTTCAATTTTTTATCTTTCCATTGATTACCTTTTAAACTATTTTATGTTTTTTGTTTAAAAAAAACAGGCGTTTGAAAACAACAATTTTTTTCCAAAAATTTTCCATTTTCTTTCAGATATTTTTTTTCTTTTAATATCTACGATTTATTAACTAGCACCACCATAATTTTGAGTTTTTTCCTTTTGATTAAAAGAATCGTTTAAATTGATTAATTTCAGGCTGTCGACAAAGTTTATGGGTTGCACAAACCCCAAGATTATAGGTTGCTAACCCAAGTATGCAGTGATCGGGAGAAAAGTATAGTATGTAGGCAGAGGGTCAATAAACAATTTATCTTTGACGTATAGAAATGTAACTGTAACATTTATTAAATTTCTTTTGTTAACATTACAACAAAGTCTGATGTTTAAAATTTATTGTATGTTATTTAGCATACTTCTTTTAATAACATATGTCAGGATCAAAATCGTTGAAGAGTTGATTAATCGGTATATTTATCATGCATACGTATAAGTTATAGTATTTGTGAAATAAAAAAGGGAAATATATTTAATTGAGCGTAGTAATATATATATATATATATATATATATATATATATATATATATATATATTTCAGTTCGTGAAGAAAGAAGTGATCGCTTCCATCCGTGGGATACATTCCAAGATGCAAAATAAGACAATGTGTTCTTTTTTCAGTGTGCTGAAAAACCTCAAGTATTATCCGTGCGTAAAGGATGAGCTGGAGATTCGTGGTGAATCTATGTTTTGGCAATTGCGGGAGGATCACTTTTGGCAAAGAATCAACGCGATTCACGCTGGCACCGTTCACGTTGTGGCAACGACGGTACTTGATCTGCCGGTGTTTGCTCGAGAATCCATCATAGATTGCTGGGGCACGATCTCGTATGAGATTGACGAGATACAATTCCAAACGCTGGTGCCTCTTGTTCGACTCTCCGTTACTGAAATAATTGATTGTTCGTGGACCAAATTCATGGACGAGAATAAACAGCGTGCGATACTTGCCCTAAAGAGCACGTCTAGTACGGAAAGAATCGTGACCGTTCAGCTATCGAGTAGTCGGAGCAATGAATGTGACGAACATGACTTCGGGAAGAAACGCCTTTTTCGTTTTTTGGCCAAGAAAACTTTCGAAAAGATCTACGGTGACGTATTTTCAGTAAAGGCACATGGCCCTCTGACCTACTGTCTGCTCGAGATATTATCGATCAACTTCGATAAAGCAAGTTTAAGGATCTTTTTCAGGTAAACAATCGTTAATGAATGACAATGTTATTTTTTCTGATCGTACTAACAAGGGAACACCGCGAACCAGAACTCTTTAATTTTGATACACTTTTGTGAATATGTAGAGTAAATAAATACATAACGAATAACGATATATTCCATTTGTGCCCTATCGCTATTTAAAAGTATGATTTACCCTCTCAAAGTAAAAAGGACGATTCCACTTTTTCGTATGTTACTTAAATTAAAGGAGATAGAAAAAAATTTTTTCGAATAAAAGTTTAATGGTAAGTTAAATGCTATAAATTGACATAAATAAAAAATACCTTTTTTATTTAAAAAAAAATTTGTATAGGTATTTTTTTATTTATGTTTATGTCAATTTACAGCACTTAACTTACCATTAAACTTTTATTCGAAAAATTTTTTTCTATCTCCTTTAATTTAAGAGTAATACACGAAAAAGTGGAATCGTTCTTTTTACTTTGAGAGTGTAAATCACATCTTTGAATAGCGATAAGGCACAAGTGGAATAGACCGTTATTCATGTATTGATTTTGCGACGCTTTTCCTTAATTTCTGAGGCGGCAGACAGCCGCCTGTCCGCCGCGTCGGCAAATTACCACGGTTCCCGAAACGCGACTGCGATACTAATGAGAGATGTTGGGCGCCAGAGATGCGGTAAGGCCGCACTTTCTCACAAAAGTGTCACCAAAATTTTCTAACAGAGTCGCGAGTCGGAAAACTCTACGGGACCGGCAGCTCCGCGTGATTATAGTCCGGAGATGGGATAGGTGGATCGGGATGGATCGTAATAGGCCGAGAAAAAGAGACCCGTACATTTCGATATGAATCTTTTATTCTTTCGGGACATTATCGTCCCAATAACCGCGATATTACTAAGTTGAGATTCGTCGATCGGAGATTCGTCCTCTCGAGACGGTACGCACGCTTATAGCCGAGACGATATTCCTCACGCAATTTTCGTGCAGGGGACCCGGAGCGATCCTCAAATGTCGATTTTTTCCACTCGACGTGCAACACGGAACGGATGGCAACAAGATTAACACAAATAGAAACCGAGTGGGTGGTCTTACAAAATCGGGGCTCCTCCCTCGCTACTGACCTCCGCCCGCGGTCCCTCGATGTGCTCCTCCGGTCAGCGTTGTCACCGTTTGCGGCCGGGTCGCTCTCGCCCTCGCTTCGTATCGGCAATGACACCCGTGATACGTGTGGACCGGAATCCCTTTTGCCTACCTTGGAAGCAATACATGGCCACAATCACTTAACTCTCGTCAGCGGTATCTCGGCAAATTGGATAGCGAAGCGCCTCGGTACGAAAACGGTAAGGTGCGAACCCGCGTCCGACAGCTCTATCGTCCCGGGAATAAAACTCTCACGACAAAGCGTATTAACGCGCGCTCGTTACGACAACGAATTTCTTCTCTCATCCTTTGTTGTGCTTTGTTGCTGGTATTCTTCCTTCTTCGCCTTCCCTCTCTCTCACTTTTTCTCTCTTCTTCTCTCGATCTCGCCCAATCACCGCGGTATTCGTAACCATCGTTTTAATTTCAAGATCTTTTTCTCCTCTTTCGGTTCCGTTGTGTATAGTTTTTCATGTCACCTGACGTCTTGCCGGTCTTCGGTATCGGTTCGGTGTCTGTTGAGACCTCTTCTCACACCTCTCCCTGCCGCATCTCGAAGTTGTGCTGAAAAGCCAAACTCGCAGCCAAACGATAGCAGCAGCAGCCAAGATCGGACAACATTTCTTATGTAACGAAAGTTAAATAGCTGTTACCTTAGTTCCATTTAAACGATGACCATCGGCGAGGACGGTGACGTATGCTGGTCTCCTTCCCAAACAGCACACGATATCCCATGGGCGTTCTGTGGATGTCCTCAGGATATCCTGAGGACATCCCGAGGAGATTTGTACTCTCTGGGTTCGGTCCCTTCTGTCTTTCTGCTCCTTCTCTCACAGGTCGGCTTGAGGTGAGCTTGGGGGACACAAACCACGGGACGCGCTGACCAGCCCACTTCCTCGATAATAGTTTCTCTAAAATCGCTTGAAATTACGCTTGAACGAACGTCGATCTCGCGAGTTAGCAAAACACGGGATCCGAAACGCACAAACGCTAGGCACGCGCGGAAGTCGGTAGACGGAGTTACGCGTTCCTTGTGACGGATACCTTCTGGGCCGCCACGTCACACTTTATTCTACATATTCACAAAAAAATATCAAAATCAAAGAGTTCAGATTTGCGATGTTCCCTTGTAAGACTTCTTGACTTTCTTGTATTTGTATTCGTGCACAAAATGCACAACAAAGTTTAGCACGACAATTTATTATCAACGCTATTTATATTTGTAGATCCTCCAACCAGCTCCATATAATATTGCATCTTCTGCAAGACGAATTTTCGAACATGATGGTCGAAGAGAAGATTGATAATTGTGTTGAAGCTGCAATGGCTCTGATGCGCGAATTAGAGTTGATTCGCAACAAGAAGAGTATACTCGAAATACAAGATGCCAAACTAATAACAGACTTGCTTATTCCTTGAGTGTTCTTCTATAGTGGAAAATAATGCACATTCTACTTATTCATATATTATATAAGATGTAACTTGACAGAAACTCTCCGAGATATAGATTCGCCACTTAAAAACAATAAAGTAAAATTTCTAAAAAAAATATATCTGATTTAACAATTTATTTCTGAGTTATAATAAGTTTTGTTCTAGTGTCCCATATATCTATAATACTTATTTTCGTAATTATTTATTGAATATAACAACTAACATCTAACATCTATTATTTATTGAATATAACTAACATCTCATAACAAATTTGTGAACTCCATTCTCACGAAGTGCAGCTCCCATTGTGTAAGAGAAAGCAAAAGTCGTTAAATATCAACTTTTTTAAATAATTTATTTTTTGTTAAATATAGAAAACACGCATTAGTAACATATACAGAGTGTTACAATTAAGTGGGAAAATATTTGGGCAATGTTAAGTAAGATTTACGAAACAGTAAAATTTAACCAGAAAACAGCCACAATAGATTTATCAATATGATCAAAGAAATTGTTATTGTTGTCATATTTCTACATGTATTTACTAAACTCACGACGAATCCTGTTTAAGTTCGTTGGTAGTAATGGAAGGAGGAACGAAGGCCCTAAGCCTGCTTCCGAGGCGCACACACAGAGCAATGCCCGCCACGTCGCGCTATTCATGTAATTATATCATTTTTAATCGTATCGTAATAAATATAGCTTGAGTAAAAAATTATAAGACTTTTCAATTCGGTTTAATCTTTTAAGTCATAATGTATCATATATGATACACCTTTTCTAGAGCAGTTTTTACGAATTTAAACTAATTTGTAGAGACTTCAAGGCGGTAAATGTAGATTTATTGTAAAGCTTAAATTTTCTTCTAACAGAATCATCACAGAATATTAAGTTTTGCAGATTTAATTATTTATAAATAAGTTAATATAAGAAAACAATTTTTTTTTCAATTCATTTACCAAAACTATTGCAAAATAACTATGAAAAGATATGACTTGGTTGATGCTTTTTCAGCTGTAAACAATGACGAAATCTCAAAAATTTCAAAATTTAAGATGACGAACTTAATATGGCGAGCTAAAATATCAACAATCGGAATAAGTTATTTCTTTCTGTAAATGAATATTTCTTTCCGTAAATGAATGAAGTTGAGTCTGTCAATAGCTTCAACTTCAAAAAAGTGATTTTGAATTCGTGATTAGCGACACCAAAAACCCTCGGGTATCAATTTTCACGGAAATCGAGGGAGTTTTAAAATTGTCGTCCGCCATACCCAGCGAGAAATGACTCGTCGATCGACATCGAAATCGTCAAAACATCGTTTCGACGTCGATCCATGAGTCATTCCTCGCTGGGTATTGGATCCGCCACCTTGAATTTTCAAAAAATGATTTCAAATTCGTAATTAGCGACTCCAGAAACCCGAGATATCGATTGAACAAAGGAAAAGGTTGTGTAAAAAAAATCGTAATTTAAAGAGTTAATATGCAGAATTTAATGTCCAAATCAGTGACGTAACCGGGGAGGGAGGGGGACTAAAGGAGCTGCAGCCCCCCCGAAATTAATTTTCTGGGTTACGCTAAGCATGAGAAAAATTTTTTCGAATGATTTTTTTTTGCTCGCCAAAAATAAAAAGTACAGCCCCCCCAAAACTTTTTTCTGGCTACGCCACTGGTCTAAATACTTCCTTACTTTATTGTAACATCCTGTATACTGTAGTAGGTGGATAGTAAATGATCGAAATAATCGAAATAAATGATTCAATAGTCCTTACTAAGCATTTTATATAAAACTATATAAAAAATATTGTTCTTGTGCGTGTGTGTATATAATAATATAAAGCCGTATATTATTATAAATTGAGATACATAAAACATAAAATGTTTTCAATCATAAACTTTTATATGTTAATATACTACATGGATTACTAATATTTATAGATTACTAATATCTATGGTATAGATATATACAGTCGAAAAATTAATGCAAAATATAAGTAGTTGGCAGCCAGATTTCAGAATAGCGCTATTGGGTATTTTTTCATTATTTCTCAGAAATCTGGAAGATGAGAAATTGCAAGAGAATTTCTGAGAAATTTTTTCACCAGGGTTCATCTGTTAATATTATTTGATAACTTTTTAACGAAGAATAACTACCAAGTAAAACCTTTTGAATTTTTAAATTGTAATATTATATGCAGGGTTATATACAGATGTTATATACACGTAAAAAATTAGACCAACAAACTTTGAGGGGAAATAGAGGACATAAAAACAAATATATTATAAACCGAAATAATAGAACGCTCCTTGATAGAGTTAACTAATAGTGAAATATTAATGGCACATAAGGAGCTAGCACGAATATCTTAGTGCTATTAAATACTAATATAACTTTAATATTAATATGATTGTGGGAGGATAAAAATGTCCAGTATGTCAAACGCACGTATCGAAATTTTCTCTTTGATTACCGTATGCGAAGAATCAACCTTCCATACTTAGACCGATCCTTGAGTCCCAATTTTAAATATATATTT